CTTACAGTTTAAATTTATTGTTTCAGGTACTTCAGATGATCGGGGTAAAGCAAAGGTGTGATCGTACACATCCTTTGGTGATATGTTTTGGAGATATTATGATATATTGATTTTGGAACATTTGTATTTGATCTTGGGTTTTTATGATTTGGGTTGATTGAAAACAATGATTTCATTTTAATTAAAAATGAAAATTTTATCGTGGTTTTTTGGATGTTACATACACACACCTTTTAAAAAGAAAACATATAGACTAATAACTATCTTATATCCATATATACATTTATCTTTAACCCCCTTAAAACGAACATACAACTTAGTAAAACAAGGTCGTTTATTCGTTATTATGTCAACATCTATTTTTCCTATAGAACTAGAATTTAACCTCCTTATTTTTTCCTCGTAACTCCACAATATGGCATATTGCTCTTTTAAATACCATTATAACTCAGTCAATGCATGTTTCTTTGCCTTACGAATCTTTAAGATATATAAACATATATGTTGAACTTATTGGTGACAATAGTTTATAATTCCCTTAGTGACATGGGATGGTCAGATATAAGCCCCTTTTCAAAATGTATACCAAATTGTTAATATGTGATAAAGGTACTAGAGTTGAAGGTTCTAGAATAATAATGGTTCAAGTTAATAGATTTTATTGAAAATGTCTCTTCATTCTCCTTAGTCCAAGAAGCTCAAAGCCTAAATGGATAGTGAACTTTATCTTCAATTATCACATTTGATCAACAATCGAGCATGTTCATTATTTTTCCACAAAAGTTTGCAAAACTTTGTAGACATCTCTTAAACTATTTTGGAAATTCAAAATGTATTCCTAAATTTTGCATAATTTTGTAGACATGACTTTCAACTATGTTGTGTAGTATCATAGGTAGGATACTTTGGTTTTCCAATATCATGTTCACTACCACATTCACATTCATCCACATCCTCTTTTGCTTTACCACTAGGACACAACTAGTTTAACACTTCCCATTTAGAGTGTTTTTAAACAAAGGATTGCCCTTATCATCTTAGACATGCTCTAAAACAAAGGATTGTCGCTATCATCTTGGACATGCGTAGAAGGTTCCTGTGGGGTGTATCGGATGTGAAAAAAAAATACTTTTGGTTTCATGGGTTAAGGTCGTTGCTTCCAAATAAAAAGGGTTGGGTCAATTCAGGCTCTTAATATTGGCTTAATTGTCAAATAGTGGTGGAGGCTTAAAACTAGTAACTCATCCTTTTCGAGCAATGTTATTTCTAGCATTCACAAACTTCACGGTAAATCGTTCCATTATATCTCTAAGAAATCTATATCGAGGGTGTGGAACAACATTGCTTGTATGATAATGGATGTTGGTAAATTTAATCTTGGTTTTCATGACATTTTCAAAATTAACGTCAATTTTGGGAACTAAACTTTATTTTGGCAGGATGTTTGGTTTGGTGATGAAGCTCTAAAACTTAGATTTCCGTCCCTTTACTCTTTCGAAAGAAAGAAATTGTTCATGGTTGTTGACATAATCAACTCATCCAACCCTTTATGGGACTTATTCCCATGTTGTTGCTCGCCTGATTTATGACGTTAATGCTTTATGCAACATCATTGGTGGTACCACAATCTCAGGCGCATCTGACAAGTTTCTGTGCCTAAGCATCTGATGGCTCCTACATTGTCGAAACCCTCAGGAAGAAAATTGACCAAAATTCCTCAATTACTTATAATTCTCTTGTAGTCTGGTGCAAGGAAGCCCCCAATAAAAAGTGATATGTTTCGTTTGGCGTGCAGCTAAGGGTCAAATTTCGTTCATCGTGGCCCTCTCTCATTATGTCATTCCTGTTCATTCTACAGGATGTAGGTCCTGTGGTCACCTTGTGGAATGTGCAATGCGCAGATCATATTTTGGTTAATTGTTCCTATGTGTGTATGGTTTGGGACTGGATTGGAAATGGTGCGGAGTCACTCATGCTCCTTCGTTTAACATTTGTGACATCCTTTAGTATGTTGTGAGTTGGTGTTGATGTCCTAAAAAGCGTTTGGTACTTACTATTGTTTGGTATGGTATTTTTTTGGAGCATTTGGAAAACTAGGAACGACATAATATTTAATAAAAGGACAATCTCTCTTTCAAAAAAATGCAGATATTGTTATTTCTACGGTTTATCTTTGGTTGAAATGCAGAGGTAACTTGAGGAGATGTTATTGGGTTGATTAGGGTATTTCTCCATTTTCTTATTTGTAATTCTTTGTTGATTCCTTTTTGCCCTCGTCTAGTTACTTGCTAGGCGTTAGGTCTTTTATATATATATTTTTCATTTCCATATATATATATATATATATATATATATATATATATATATATATATATCTTTATTTGTAGACAAAATTATTTTACGTATTTTAGTGTGTTTTATTTATTTTTTTTAATAAAAATAAAATAAAATAAATTACAAAGTAATTTTGAAAATGCAAAAGAGCTGTAACAAATAAATAAAAAAGAAAATGAAAATGAAAATGGTTAGTGAAGTTTGGTGGAGCAACCAAGTAGTGGATTTTAAAGGAATTTTTATTTTTTTAATTTAAATATGAAAACCAACCAAACATTTTAGTTGACACTGCGAATGGGTCTTATGGGCGAATGGTCTATTGGGCAACAAGTGTGCGCTAAGGGAAACGAACAAAATTAACTGTGAATAATTTAACCTATAAAATATTTTATTTTTCTAATAAATTAAATACCAACAAAGTATGAACACAATGGCAGAAATGAATATTCTAGTTTTTAAAAATTTTAATAGGGGATCAAGAGAGCTAGAATGAGCAGGGCATGGTAGTTGACAATTCACGAGGTTGCTGCAGGATAAGCTTCTTTTTTTCTCTGCCATAAATCTTCAATAAATGCTCAACAGTCAATTTAGTTCATCCCCGTCGTCTCCACAGACCACAGTTGCCTATTTTAGAAATTCCCATTCCCATCATATCTACCTACCTCTTTCCATCACCCTACCGAACGATTATGGAAACTACTCAGGTAGAACATCGATGGGAGGACCAAGAATATGACGAATTGGAGGAGAGTTTGATTGATAGAAGAAAGAATCTGAAACAGACGCCAATTTTCACGACCATCAATGATGATTTCAGCAGCAACAATGGTGCTTCAGTTGGTTTCTCGAATGGTGAAGATCAAGAAAAAGAAGAAGAAGAAGTCAAAGATTTAAGTCAACAAAATGGCATAAAGGTTGATGAAGATGATATAGAGAAAGAGAAACTACAGACCTCGGAATATCTTGTTTATTATGACGCAGATAAAGGTAAAAATGTGAAGATCTGGTAGCACAGTAGATATTTGAAGTTGTTTTTTTAATTCAAGATGCAGAAAATGGACTATAACAAATTCACTTTTGACTGTAATCTTATATACCCTTGAAGACCCACCTTTTTGTCTCCCATGTTTTTTTCTTTATAACAAGACCCTACCTTTCTCTTTCTTCATATTCGGGTTCTTCAGTGTTAAGGTGATTCTAGGGTTTCTTTTCTCTGAAATTCATCTCTCTTCATTCCTTGATAAGTTTAATTGATTTCTGGGTATTGGATTATAGTCTGAACATCTTTTTCTATATCCTATTTAGTAGTGACCGGATTAAGTAATATAATTATACAACTTTAATGTTATTTATAACTCTGTAAGTGGAATTGATGTTGTAAAGATTAGGCATTCCATCCAGCCTCTCACCTATCTAGCTTTCAATTCGCTAAAAGCAAAAGGTAACCCACATGTTTAATGGAGATTCTTCTTTTAGATAATTAAGAAATTGCATCTTTTCTTTTTTTCCTTTTTCTTTGACTGAAGGAATATGGAAATGTCGAATCTGCTCCTGGGATTATGAGGGTAACACTTGTGTCACCAATCATAATCAGAGAATCTGTTTGTTTCATGAAACCAAAGGTATACACCCCTCAATTCACGACAAAGGTCTGAAAGTTGCCATCTTTACAAACAAAAGTTTCCATAGTAAATTGGGAAGATTCGTTAGCAATTTAGCATAGTTGTTGTGTTAATGGACGTATATAAAGATTTTAGAATAAGATAGTAAATTAAAAATAAGTCTAATTTGTTGTATATTTTCAGATGCTGGGTTGCGTCTTCAATCATCAAAAGGGGAAGCAAATGGTGTTGATTCAACTTTTCATGGGAAAATCCCCATGAAAGACAACATCAATATAACAATACATAATCAAGAAAACGACTTCAATATAAGAATACACAATCAAGAAAACGGGAATGGCCTGGACTTTGTTATCAACAACCAAATTGGTGAACATGAAAAGCAAAATAACTTATCGGATAACAGCCTTCATCCATCAGAAATATCATTTGAAGAAGTTGACAAAACAGAAAGCAGCGAAATTGAAGTGATCAAAGATGTTGAGGATGAATTTGATGTGGAGACAGTGATAAAGAAGCAAGAAACACATGATTTATTCTGTCCAAATTGCAATTCTTGTATCACAAAAAGAGTTATTCTTCGTAAAAGGAAACGGAGAATCCCGGTTCCTGGTGATATTGCAAAGCGTAACAAGCCCGAAACTTCAAATCCTTCAGAAGTGAATCTTGTTTCTGATGATATTCAACCCCTGATATCTAATGAAGATGATCATGAGAGGGATCCAGATGTATTCAGATGTTTGTCGTGTTTCAGCATTTTTATGCCTACAGGTTTGAATGTTGAAGAAATTATCGTTAAAATTGGAGTTTATTTTCATGATTTCATAATGCTTGTTTGATGTTGTAGGGAATGGATTTAAGTTGTTTGGTAATAAAAGCAACCGAGAAAACAATCAAACTTCTCATAAGGAAGTGGCTGTGAAGGAAAGCTGGTTTTCTAGAATTTTTGCATCAAAGAAGGTGG